AATCAGAGCTACAGATGTTCAGTGTATGTGAACTTTTTGTAAGTGGATGGTGTTCTGTCCTTGACACTATGAAGTATTTACCCTGACAGATAACTATACTGTGTTTTCTATAAATACCTCATCCTGACACAGAACTGTGATGCTGGTGGAAGTGATGCCATTGTACAGATGAGAAGACTGGCTCCACTTTTGGGTAGCAGTCCTAAATTTAACAATTTTGATCAAAATAATTGAGCCTCAGCAAGCAAAAATGTATCGAACTTCATTGTCCAAGTTACTAGGAAAACGGTACTAAGGTGTGCTTCTTGGGGAGTTTTCAGTGTAGGTGGAGCATTGTGAAATTCACATCATAGTGTGACAAGTGTGGGGTTTCAAGGACGGGCTAGTACTCGCCAAGCTGCCTCCTGCAGACCCAGGATGCAACCCAGCAGGATTATCTGGAACAAGTGGCCCAAAAACATCTTAACAGCAACCTCCACCTGTTTCGTGTCTTTCTTTTTTTTTTTTTTTTTTTAAATTATTTATTTATTTGGCTGCATCAGGTCTTAGTTGCCTCGTGAAGGATCTTCAGTGTGATGTGTGCTACCGTTTTAATTGCAACCTGTGGAATCTTTAGTTGCAGAATGCAAACTCTTAGCTGTGGCATGTGGGATCTAGTTCCCTGACGAGGGATTGAACCTGGACCCTGTGCATTGGGAGTGCGGAGTCTTAACCACTGGATTGCCAGGGAAGTCCCTGTTTCGTGTCTTTCATCTGTCATCTACTTCACCAAGTTGATGGCTGTAAATAGTACTGCCTCAAAACCAGTTGCATTCTACAGTCCAGGCTCAGCCTAGTCTGAAGGCCCTGCCATACCGTATCAGTCCTAATTTCCCAATACAAGATAAGACCAGCAGTTTTAAGTACTTATTTGTCTACACCCATTTTCATGAAAGTCATAACTACTAAGAAGTTGACCTCCCTAGCTTCATTTTTGTCTAGGTACTTTTGTCTGCTTTCAGTGTTTATTCAACAAATTTCTAAGGGCCTCCTGTATGTCAGATACTGATGGAAGCCCTGAGGTCACTATAATGACTAAGATTCATTTCTGCTCTAACAGGAGCTTTTCTCTGATGGTAATAACACTAGGAAAAAAACAGATAAATGGCATTCCTAAGGGGGTACTTAGGTCTGAGAGCTCAAGAAAGACTTTCTAGAGAAGTTTCAGTGACGAAAAGCTGAAAACCAGTGTTTTTCCAAACTCAGCATGGCTGCCTTCTCACCGGAACCCTCAGCCCCATCTCACAGAACTACGTAACAGCTCTTGAGTTTCTTACTTTATTCATAGATGCACTGTATTCTGAGCAGGTAGATCTCATTCAGGATTCACATTTCACCTCGGGGAAAGCCAGCCCCGGTCATCCAGTTCACTTGAATGGGGTTCAGGGTCACCCAGTCATCCTCTATAGTGCCTCCACTTCAGCCACAGTTGCTGAGCATGAGCAGTGGATTTGGGCTTAAGTGTCTACACTGCTCTGTCATAGGCCCCTTTGTTTACAATATTACCAATGATAGATAGAAATTCCCATTTTAAGGCAAGACAAGAAAGGCTAAAGCCTCCTCCCTCCCCTCCAGCGTGCATTGTGTTTCTGTGTTATGCATTAACCACAAGTCCTCAGTGGCAGAAATAACCTGTTCAACCATAAAGTTCAATTTTTCTTCTGATGCCAGTCGTGGAACTCCTTAGGAGATAACATTCATTTCTCAGTCCTGTAAGGGGTCACAATGACCCACCACTTGCTTTGTACATGAAGACATCTTTGTTGAACTTTATGTACAATGCCAATGTGCCATTTCCCTTAAAGACAGCGATGGGGGCAGAAAGGGCTGGTCAGATGACCTGGGGAGTTACTGGGCTGCACCTAAGGAAAGCTCTCAGCTTAAATACTTCCTTAGGAAAGAATGTTGCTAGCTATACTTTCACATATTCTGCCTATTTTACAAGATTTTTTTTTAAGTTGCTGGTGGTCTTAGTTGTGGCCCGCAAGCTATTTGTTGCAGCCTGTGGGCTTCTCCCAAGTTGTGGTGCATGGGCTCCTGGGCACACAGGCTCAGCAGTTGTAGCTCACAGGCTTGGTTGCCCCACAGTATATGGGATCTTAGTTCCCCGACCAGAGATGGAACCTGTGTCCCCTGCATTGGAAGGCAGATTCTTAACCACTGAACTACCAAAGAAGTCCTTAAGAATATTGTTTCTTGCACAACCAGATGTGTGACAGAGCGTCCGATAAAAATGATGACTAGGCGACCACAACAAATACACAGTTCTACAAAGTCAATGATAGTAACAGTCTAACTCTATAGATAATGGGAAGAAACTAGAGGGAATCATTACCCGAACCATAACAGGCCAGTAAGACAGGAGGTCCAGAGGCTTTTGGCTACTACCAACAGAGCCCAGTCCAGTAATAACACACTGAATGGCCTATCAGTGATTCCTTGCCTGGCCTGGGAATGAGCATCCCTATCACCATGGGCCATATCAGTCACAGAATACCTCTCAAACCTTGGTCAAAATTAAGACTGAAAGGGAAGGAACTGTAAAATAAGGAATATAGCCTCCCACCCAGTTCTACAAGAATCAAGTCATTAGCCACTTGATGACCTACATATACCATGAGAGGAATTCAGGATGAGAATTCGGACAAGGCACTTTTGTGCTCTAGGAAAACTGGTAGGACTGTCCTTCAGACAGATGTCTTCAAGAGAAAAATTCCTGAACCCAGTTTCTTGCATCTTCCCATACTTAAGAACTAAAACCATTAAGCTGTTAATTCCTCCTGAAGAGCAACAACCTTCTACCAAGCCATATGTCCCTTCATCAGAATCACAGATAAACTGGACTCCCTCCCCTACCCCTTCCTTACAGTTCTCAGAGGTTTCTGAAGATTGTCTCTTAGGTTATAGTCCTTTGATTTTGTTCAGTCACTCAGTCTTGTCGACTCTGCAATCCCATGCAATCCCTGAGTGCAGCACACCAGGTTTCCCTGTCCTTCATGGTCTCCCTGAGTTTGCTCAAACTCATGTCCATTGAGTCTATGACGCCACCTAACCATCTGATCCTCTGTCGTCCCCTTCTCCTCCTACCCTCAATCCTTCCCAGCACCAGGGTCTTTTCCAATTAGTCAGGTCTTTGCGTCAGGTGGCCAAAGTAGTGTAGCTTCAGCTTCAGTGCTTGCAATGAGTATTCATGGTTGATTCTCCTTAGGATGGACTGGTTTGATCTTGCTATCCAAGGGACTCTCAAGAGTCTCCTCCAGCACCACAATTCAAAAGGCACTCAGCTTTCTTTATGGTCTAACTCTCACCCATAGATGAAAAACCATAGCTTTGACTGTATGGACCTTTGTCAGCAAAGTGATGTCTCTGTTTTTTAACACGCTGTCTACAATTGTCATAGCTTTTCTTCCAAGGAGCAAGCGTCTTTTAATTTCATGGCTGCAGTTACCGTCTGCGGTGACTTTGGAGCCCAAGAAAATAAAGGCTGTCACTCTTTCCATTGTTTCCCCATCTATTTGCCATGAAGTGATGGGACCAGATGCCGTGATCTTAGTTTTTTGAATGTTGAGTTTTAAGCCAGCTTTAGGTTAGCTCAATTAAAATTCTCCATTTCTTCCATAGATAAACAATTAATTGTTAATGGATATCAAGCACATAAAAGGGGCTTCATAAATCAATAAAAAGTCTGGAAAGAGCTCATGATTTGGAGTATAAATGGGGGCGGAGCGGTTAATTCCACAGTCCAGTTCTCAACTCTATGATCTTAATTAAGCAAACCCCCTCTAAGTTCCATTTGGCTAGTCAGCTAAATATTGGAAACAGCCCCTAGCCCTCCTCTTCTGATGGAAGATCAAGTCAGTCCTGTTTGTTACTTAGTGAAGGATAGACTGAATCACTGTAGCGAAAATTCGTTAGCTGCTTTACTGGTCCTGGTTTCACCAACTTGGTTTCCAGTCTCAAAGTACTGGGTAGCCAACTAGTCCTTGCCCACATTAATGAAGTGTCACGGGGGCTTATCTCCCAGAGTCATCTGCTCCCGTGCATTCGTTAAAAGGGGAAAGACACAGCTTTAAAGAGCTCCGCGCCCTTGCCAGATTAGATCTTCAACCCTGCCACCACCCCTCCCTGCAGGTGCGCGCCGGAGGCACAGCACGTGCGCTTCGCTCGCGGGCATCCCGGCGCCCAGCCCAGGCCAGCCCCGCCCGGCAAGTCGCTCCTCGCCACGTGACCCTACCCCCTGCCATTGGCCGGGCAGGAGAGGCGGGGCCGCCGCGGAGGCGCGAGCTGGCCGATTGCGGCCTGACTCGGCTGCGGGCTGTCTCCGGAGCGGCTGGGAGGTTCGAGCTCTGTGCGCGCGGTGGGCCGGCGGGCGGGGAGGCGGGGGCTGCGGGCGTGGGCACCGCGCACGCGTAGGGAGCGGCTCCCGGATGCCGCGCGTCTGCAGGAGAGCGGCCTCGCGCGGCTCCGCGGCAGGTGTGCCGGGGCATCCCTGTCACGTGACCGAAGAGGCCGGGGCGCCGGGCGCGGGGGAGGACAGGGTCGTGCAGCCCAATCCTCCAGATTGGAGTCGGGAGCGCGGGGACGAGGCCAAAAAGCCGTGACTCTCAAGGGTCTGGCCTCGGGAGGCCCTAGGAGGGTGTTGGGCACCCCAGAAATTAGGGGAAATTGGGGAAGATACCCACCCTTTTATTACCATGTCAGTAAGGAGTCCGGCGCCCCTGGGAAGTAAGGTCCTGAGGAAGATGGAGGGGTTCGGGACTCCTGCAGGGAGCCCAGATCCGAGCTAGAAACGATGCAGTCGGGGCAGTTGACGTCAGAGGTCTTTGGGTTCTGGCTGCACCCTAAATCGCAGTGAGCGCACGGGCAAGCCCTTCCCTCTCTCTAGGCCCCCCTGGCTCCCGTCCCCCGGCCTCGAGGGGCCTACCATGTTCCGAGGCCTCACCCCTGTGGTCTGCCGTAGGATGGGCCTCTCTGCCGCCGCCCCGCTGTGGGGCGCCCCGGGGCTGCTCCTTACCATCGCCCTGCACCTGGCGCTCTCCCTGCGCCCTGCCCAGGCCTGGGCGCCGGTGCATCGGGACTACTGCGTCCTGGGCGCCGGGCCCGCGGGCCTGCAGATGGCCTACTTCTTGCAAAGGGCAGGGAGAGACTACATGGTATTTGAACGCGCCCCGGGGCCAGGCAGCTTCTTCATGCGCTACCCCCGGCACCGCAAGCTCATCAGCATCAACAAGCGGTACACAGGCAAGACCAATGCCGAGTTCAACCTGCGCCACGACTGGAACTCTCTGCTCAGCCACGACCCCCGGCTGCTCTTCAGACACTACTCTGACGCTTACTATCCCGACGCCAGCGACATGGTGCGCTACCTGAGCGACTTTGCAGAGCGGCTGGGGCTTCACGTGCTGTATAACACAACCATTGCCCACGTCACTCTGAACAAGGATCGCGGGGCCTGGAATGGCCATTACTTCGTCCTGACCGACCACCGAGGCCAGGCATACCAGTGTAGGTAAGGAACCTGGCTGCAGAGCTCACCTGCCGAAGCTGGGGCCTTTCTGGGAGGAAGAAAACCCATTGGTTGGCCCATATGCGTGGGAGAAATGGGAGGGAAAGGGCATTTCAGCCCGTCTTTGGTGGTGGATTAGTCGCTAAGTCATGTCTGACTCTTGCAACCCCATGGACTGTAGACCACCAGGCTCCTCTGTCCATGGGATTCTCCAGGCAAGAATACTGGAGTGGGTTGCCATTTCCTTCTCCAGGGGATCTTCCTGACCCAGGGATCAAACCTGGGTCTTCTGCATTGCAGGTGCATTCTTTACAGACTGAGTCAACTGGAAAGCCCCCTCCCCATATTTGCTCCCACTGAAATCCAGTACACGGAGGTTCAGTTCATCCATCATTTCCCAGGTGTTTCCTAGAAATATATGTACCCAAAGATATTTGAAAATTCTGACCATTTCTTTCCTCCAGGATTTTTCAGTCTTAAATATTTTCACATTCACTGAAGGGCTCCAACATTGGGTAAAGTATTCAGCATTATCTGAGCTTATGCACCTACAAAACCCTTTTTGTAGCGTTTCTCCTAGAACTTGTGTTCCCCAAAATCCATTCTGAGAAATGCTGGCAAGTGTCCAGTAAGTGTTAGCCGGGCTCGGTAGGATTTCAGAATTGAATGAGAGCCAGGCACAACAGGCAGTGCTGCCAGCATTCAGCTTCAGCTTGCTTTGGCTTGGGAGAAAGCTTAATATTGTGTAGACAACCCCAACTCAGAGTTACACATTCTACCGTGCTTGTTTAATCCTCACAAGGACCCTGTGAAGGAGGTTCACTGATCCCCATTTTATGAATGACAAACTGAGGCTCAGAGAAGTTAAGTCACTGGTGTTCTGTCACACAGCTAATAAGTAGCAGCTGCCACTTGACTGCACTTGTCTTTCTGACTCTGAAGCCTGTGTTCTTAACGCCCCACCAGACTGACTCCCCCTTCCTGGTTGTCAGCCTAGCACCTGGCCCCAGGCAGGTGCTCCATCACAGTTCATCTTCTCAAGCCTTTTGCCCGAGGCCCAGCCTTATTCCTTGTTACAGCTTAGGGAGTGGGGTCAGTTTGGACCCTCGCATCTTAGGACTTTGAAATGCTACAGTATAGGGGAGTCAGTTGTAAGCCAGTGGACAGCTCAGGAAACAAGGGGGAATGGGGGCTGCCCAGGCCCTTTCTCCAGACCACCTGTTCCTGTTTTTGAAACTATCTTGTTATCCACTCTTTCCTCTGCAGGCCAGCAGGGTCCAGGTCCTGGCTTGCCCACCACAAGATTGTAATCCCCATCAGCAGAAAGAGCAGGACTCTGAAATTAGGCTGGGCTGTGGTCAGAGACTAGCTCTGCTATCTGAGGAGCTATGGAGGCCATGGGCCCACTGGGAGCCGGCATTCCTCACCTGTAACACAGGCCAAATAATACCGACGCAGACCTGCTTTGAGCAGTGAGATGAGTCAGAAAGTACTTAGTACAGGACTCGTACAGAATCACTGCTCAGCAGATTCTGCATCTGCCAGGGAAGTAAGAAAGGGGAAAGCAGAGTGTCTGGTTTCATTTTCATGGTGGTACTTGGTATGGCTGCTGTGTTCAAAATTAAGTGAATTATTGTTCCTTATGGTGTCACCCTCTCTAGAGTCAGAAAGTAAAACTGATTCTCACGTTTGGTATAATCCCAGAAAGGTGAAAAGCAAACTATACCCAATGGATCATTCAGTGAGGGGGCTGAGGTAAAGTGTCAGATATGCTGGGACAGGTCAGGAAGTAGGCAGAGGAATGAATGACCTGCTTTCCTTTAGGACCTAGCAGCCTGGGTGGGGCTGGCGAGCCAGGTGGCAGGTCCAAAGAGGGATTTTTTACTTAGTGGTCTCATAGTTGAGAGGCTAAGCCACCCTCCCTCTGTCCCCCACCTGCAGCGTCCTTCTCGTGGCCACCGGCTTGCCGGTGCCCAACCAGGTGGACTTCCCTGGCTCCGAATATGTGGATGGTTATGAGTCTGTGTCCGTGGATCCCAAGGACTTCGTGGGTCAGAATGTGCTGATCCTGGGCCGGGGGAACTCGGCCTTTGAGACAGCAGAGAACATCTTCAGTGTCACCAACTTTATCCACATGCTGAGCCGCTCCCGGGTCCGGCTGTCCTGGGCCACCCACTACGTCGGAGACCTCAGGTATGCTGAGAGGTGTCGTGTGTGCCGCCCTGGCCCCCGCCTGACTAAGCCCCCCTGCCCCCAAGTCTCCCTCACCTCGCACAGACCCTTCTCTCTCTCCTGACCTTCCCTCGGGGCCCCAGGGCCATCAACAATGGCCTGCTGGACACCTACCAGCTCAAGTCCTTGGACGGGTTGCTCGAGTCCGACCTGACAGACTTGGCCATCGTGAAAGACCACCAGGGCAAGTTCCACATCACTCTGAAGCTCTTCATGGAGGCAGGCAACCAGAGTTCCGACGCCATCCCCCTCCCCCAGGACGACAATGACAACTTTGCCATGCGCGTGGCCTATGACCGGGTCATCCGCTGCCTGGGCTGGAAGTTTGACTTCTCCATTTTCAGCAAGTGAGTCCAAATGGAGGGGAGGAACTCGATCTCTCAGCAGAGCCGTCTGGTCCAGGCCCCGGCTGGACACGGAGACACCGGAGGGCCTGAACCGATCTTCCTGTCCTGTCAAATCACACAGGGACCCAAGCCCAGACGCCAGTCAGGGCTTGAGTCCTGGGTGTGTCCCTGCCCCACCACATCTTTACCCTGAAGGTCAGTTATTCTGTGTGTTCAATGGACATGATCATACCTGTCTTCTAGGGTTGGGGTGTGATTTAAACTAGCTCAGTGCCAGGCCTGTAAAAAGTGTTTCATGCACAGCAGTGATTTTAATTCACAGCCCTCTCCACTCACAGGTCACTCCGACTCTCTTCAGGGAGTGAACTCAGCAAGAAGTACCCCCTGGTCAGAGCCAGCTATGAATCCAAAGGGAGCCGGGGCCTCTTCATCCTGGGGACTGCCAGCCATTCAGTGGATTACCGGAAATCTGCTGGGGGTTTCATCCATGGATTCCGATACACAGGTGAGCCTGGCAGAGAGGGCTGCTGTCCCCAGACAGAACCATCCCTAGGGTTTGCAGAAACATGCCTTATTCCCTTAGAGCAGTCTTAAAGGTATTGCTTATCAGCAGTTGATTGTCATAAATTCCCATCTGGGGCAGACAGCAGTGGGTTTTCATGGTCTGAGGATATGTCTAGAGCAGGGGTTCCCAACCCCTGGGCTATGGACCGGAACCAGGCCGCACGGCAGGAGGTGAGTGGCTGGTGAGCAAGCAAAGCTTCATGTATATTTATAGGAGCTCTCCATCGCTCACAGTGCTGCCTGAGCTCCGCCTTCTGTCGGATCAGTGGTGGCATTAGATTCTCATAGGAGTGCAAACCCTACTGTGAACTGTGAGTGCGAGGGATCTAGGTTGTGTGCTTCTTATAAGAATCATCCCCAAACCACCCACCCCGCCCTGAGTCTATAGAAAAATTGTCTTCCACAAAACCAGTCCCTGGTGCCAAAAAAGTTGGGGACCACTGGTCTAGAGAAGTCCCAGATAAGGTGTAACCTGGGGGTGCATGCTCCATGCGTCAGCCCTGTGTGGGTGAAGTACCTACATTGGCAGTAATGCTGAGCTTGGGGACAGCTCACCTTGGGGAACAGCTGGGTGGTCTCAGACTGTGAGGCTCCCTAAGCTCCCTAAGCCTGTTGGCCCTCCCCTGACATCGGAGAGGTAAATGAGGTGGACTTGCTTCCCCGTGGGGCCATGGTAAGGACTAAATAAGGTAATTCCTGGAGGCAGTGCACCTGGGAAGCATTATGTACACATAAAGTTTGGGTACCAACAAATTTCATTAAAAATGGCACCTAGATTATATCAGCTCTTTTTTAAAAACTTTTGGTATCAACGGTGCCAGTTTTCTGCACTCTGGGTAGCCCACTGGATGGGTGCTTTATCGCATGACAAGTGCTAACATGGGCCAGTTAATTTGACCATAAAAACACCGTAAGTGTCCTTCCTGATGTTTCTGCATCTGATTTGATGCCTCACTTGCCTTGATGCTAGCTTCCGCATTTCACTCTCCTTCCAGTTTGGCATGGAAAGATAATCATGTTTTGCTGTTGATTTCCAGATGATATATTTTATACCCTGTGCATGCTGTCAGGAAAGAAAACCAAAGAGAGAGTGTTCACTGTTTACCGAAATATTTGCAGACTGCAAACACACAGACACACACACACACAGAATAGGAAGAGTCTCTCTCTCCAGCTGTGTTCCCAGCAGGAAACCCTCCTCACACTCTATGCATGTCACCCTCCCCATACCCGCTGTCCTGGCAGGTCCTGCCCCTTCTCTCTTGCCTCCCTGTCCCCTGATCTTTCTCCAGGTCACTTTCCTCTTTTTTTTTTTTTGACTATGCTGGGTCTTCGTTGCTGGTGGGCTTTTCTCTAGTTGCAGCAAGCAGGGGCTACTCCTCTAATTGCCGTGTGTGTCTTATTGTGGTGGCTTGTCTTGTTGCCTAGCACAGACTCTAGGGTGCCTGGGCTTCAGTAGTTGTGCCTGGGCTCTAGAGCACAGGCTCAATAGTTATAGCACACATGATTAGTTGTTCCGAGGCATGTGGGATCTTCCCAGACCAGGGATCAAACCTGTGCCTCCTGCATTGGCAGGTGGATTCTTTACCACTGACCCACCTGGGAAGCCCCACCTATCTCACATTCTTAATCCTCCCAACAGCCCCGTAAGACAGATCTTGTTATTTCAGTTCCCTTTTTCATAGAAGGAAATGGGGGCACAGAGAACCTAAGTCACTTACCCGAAGTCACCAAGCCAATGGAAAGCAGAGGTGGCATTTGAATCCACACCTGTGTGACTCAAAGGCTCCCAGCTAACCACTGAGTTTCAGGCAAATGGGAAACACTTCTGGGTGGACAGGCCACTGAGATCTGTGGTCCCTATTCCTGGCTGAGGACCCGCCTAGGGGGAGGGGCAGTGCAGCTGTACACGGTACATCCTGCCCGACCTTGCTCATCATTCAGCTGAGAAACAGCTTGTCCCAAGGGAGACAAGTAGAAAACAGCAAGGCAGAGGAAAGCCACAGAATATAAGAGATGGTAACTGTGAAAGGTAGGGCCTGCTGGGAGCTCTGCCCCTCCCTTCCCCCATCACTCCATCCCAGCCTTGCTTGCCTGACTTGGGGCCTCTTTGTCTCTCCTGACTGGTCTTCCTGCCACTGGTCTCTCTGGCTTCCCATCCAGCCACTCTGATGCCCACCAGAACACTGTTATTTGAACAAAAACCCTTCCAGGGGCTCCCCAGCCAGGTCCTCGGTATGGTGTCCAGAGCTTCATACAGGCCAGCACCAGCTCACTTGCCCAGCCTGGCCCTCGCCTCCTTTTCAGAATGCACCCATTTCTCTCAAGGTTTTATGTCTTTGCACCTGTGCTCCTTTGGTCAGGCCCCCTACCCCATTCCCCTAGCCGTGTACTCACTCAGCCTTTCACAAAACTCAGCCTAACCTTGTTTCCTCCAGAGAACCAGGTTTCTGTCTGTCTGTCTCATGAGGCAAACATCCTTTCCTGTGACCGCTGGCAGACCGAGCCTCTTGTCACGTGAATTGTCTGTGTCTTTGCCACTATTGGATTTGAGTGTTGTGTTGATTCATTTTGAGGAGGCAGGAAGTTGTGTGGGGTGTCCCAGTGTCGCAGCTGTGTAAGGGCAGTCCCAGGTCCACAGATAATGTTCCCTGTTGTTGGAAATAACTGTTTCTTCTCTATCCTTCCAGAAATAGACAAAGTATCTCGAAGTAGAACTGAGATTGGATTTTGGCTGTGACGGAGAGGGAGCCATCAAAAGGTTCTCCATCTGGGAGTCCCTGACAGATGTGGGGGCTATGGGGAGAGGAGAGGTTGCAGAGAAAGGCTCTGGGCCTGGTGTGGACATGTCACATGTGAGGTGACAGTGGCAGGACTTTCACATGCAGGCGGCCTGAAGCAGAAACAGGCAGTCTTCCCCTCCAGCCCTTCTCAGAAAACCTGTACGACCCTCCTCTAAAGGCATCTTCTCAGAGCCATGCACACGAGTATGTCCCGAGCGCAGAGCTGATGGGGACACTGCGTCCTCCCAGAGGTGAAAGATAATATCTTAAGGGCAGCTTGCCATTCTCCCTCCGGCCATTTCAGTGCGTGCCGTCCACCGGCTGCTGGAGCAGCGCCACCACGGTGTGGCCTGGCCCTCCACTGAGCACCCCATCACACACCTGGCCAGTGCCATCATCCGGCGCATCAACGAGGCCTCTGGGCTCTACCAGATGTTCAGTGTGCTGGCCGACGTGGTCCTGCTAAAGGAGTGAGTCTTCCTCCCTATCTCCTGCCCTCATCCCCACCAGCCTACCCCCCGACCCCGTCTTGCTCTTCTTTTCCTATTGCATGTGTGGAACAGCCCAGTGGTTCCTTCCTAAGATGGAGAAGGCTGGGGACTGGGGTGGCAGAGAGGGAGGGGACTTGGTTCTTCTGGGGAAAATCACCACCACAAGCTCCACTGACAGACAGATTGACAAGACATGGGTATGACGGCAGCTTTGCCACTTTCCACCAGTGGGATCTGGGGCAAGTTAGTTAGCCTCTCTGAGCCTTTCTCTCATCTGCAAAATGGAGCTAATAACATCGACCTTGCAGGGCTGTAGGAAGGAGTAAAGGTAACTGGTGGAAAGCATCTGGCAGTAAACACAGAAGCAGTGGCCTGCAACCATGACAGGTGACCACCTGTGGGGATTTACGAGCTCCTTGGGCCAGCCTTATCAATGAAACGATAAGCAGTGGATCGCAGAGGTCACTGCCTTAGAAGGAAGCCATCAGGAGCAGGGAAGGGAGCAGGGCTGGGGTGGGGGCGGGGGAGTGTATGGTCTGAAAGGACAGGTGGCAGGTGAGAAGCCACAGAAGGAACAGCCTGGTCCAAAGCCAGTGGGTGCAGCAGCACACCAGGTTGAGGGACATGCAGGAAACTCAGAGGTGCTTGGAGCAGAACCTCCCTCATCACCCTTGACTCCTGTCTCTCACACCCATTCACCACACTCACACCACCCACTCTACCTTCCAACTGTTTAGAGCCTGCCTGCCTCTCAGTAGCCCCACCGCTGCCACCTTAGTCTGGACCCCGAGAGCATCCCCCTCCTGCACCGATACAGCAACCCCTCGCCTTGGCCCCGGTGGTCTGCTCTCAACATGGTGGCCGGAATGGTTCTTTTAAAACTTGAGTCACTTGGAATTCACCCTTTTCAATACCCTCTGAGGGCCCTCAACCCCCCTTCCCGGGCCTAGAGACTCTGCCATGGTGGCACACATGGCCTGCCTTGACCTGCCCCTTGCCGTCGGCTCCACTGGGGCCCCATGGGCCTCCTTCCTGTCTCTGGAACACGCCGAGGCCTTCAGTCCCTCGTAGGGCTTCTCTGTCACTGTCTCAGCCTGGCTTACCCTTTCCCCCGATACCCATTCAGGTTCCTCCAGGCTTTCTGACACCTGTAGGTCTAGGCTCTAGTATTATTCAGGTGAGATGCTCGGATCTGATTAGAGTCTGTATGCTGTCTGATGGCTGCTTCTAGGAAGGCGAGGTGGCGGGCACGCGCCACACACATGCACACACCCCCTTGTCACCTCTGCCGAAGGACCCAGGGTCTCACCCCCATCGTGTGCCCCTGTCCCCAGGAAAGCCACCATCTTTGAGTATCTGGAGGAGTTCCCCATGCAGATGCTGGCGCAGCTGGAGACAATCACGGGAAGGAGGGCGAGGCACGGGCTCTTCGTCATCAACATGGAGTATGGCCGGAACTACTCTGGGCCCGACAAGGACGTCTTCTTTTCTGACCGCTCTGTGGGGCACATGGAAGACGCCTGGCTGTCCAACTTCCTCCATCCTGTCATCTACTACTATAGGCACCTCCCCACCGGTGAGCTGGGGCCCTCCTCAGACCCCAGCACCATTGGGCCTTCATGCGGTACCCTCAGCTGATGAAAGGGGGAACACCGGGGGCCCTGCCCAGAGCCTCAGTGGAGCAAGCGGTCTATGAATGATAAATGCTGTTCCCAGATTCTGGCCCACAGCAGGCCACACTTGGAGTGCTGTGGTCGCCTCCAGTAGTAAGAGGGGCAGTGTCATCGCTGTGTCCAGAGAAGGCTGGCCTTGCAGTGAGGCGGGGGACGGAGGGTGGTCTGGAGACTGACTCTAGGAGGAATAGCGAAGGGACGGGAGCAGGTCAGCACAGGAAGGAAGCAGGAGAGCTGGGCGCTATTCCCAGGGTCGTCCTTCCCTCGCTGTGACCTTATACCATTACGTGACCCCTCTGAGCCTCAGCTTGCTCATGTGTGAAATGGGGTGGCAGTGATACCTTCCGTGTAAGAGGAGAATGGACGAGATAACACAGAATGCCAGCACAGTGCCCTATACAGACTGGTTACCGACAGATGGCCAACCTAGGGAACACGACTCCTGCCTTTGAACTTGAAGACATGTCACCTGGAAGAGGATGATCTAAAATTAGGGGTCGCTCCAGAGGGCAGAGGTGGTGTCAGCGGGTAGAAGTGACAGGAACCCAGGTTCACACTCGTAAGCAGCAGCTCATCCTGACAGCTGCCGAGGCTGGGACAGGCCCCCTCGCAGTTTCCTGGTACGGGAATGGTCATGGCTGGGTGCCCTGTGATGGGGACACACAGAAGGGCACCCCACCAGATAGGAAACTGGACTAGAGGGGCCCTAAGACCCCTTGGAGGCAGGACCCAGAGTCCACTCACAGAAAGACCAGTTTCAAAGCAGCCGCAGCAGACTTCAGTCCATGCAAGTCTTAGAAGCAAACCAAGTTCAAGAGACTGGTCTCAGCTCCTCCCCCCGACAGCACAGGAGTGAGTATGGCCTAGTCCCTCTCCTTCACATCAGCCTTTCAGACATTTGGAAGGACAGCTGAACCGGCTGCCCAGAGAGGTGTCAGGAAGGCCGAGCAGAAGAGGATGCGGGGGGCGGCACCCGGGCTGCAGCTCTGAGAAGGACTGACGTGGTGCCCTCTCCTCCCCACAGAGCAGGAGGTGAGGTTCCGCCCGGCGGGCTGGCCGCTCCCGCGGCCCTCGGCCCTCCACCACGTGGTGGAAGACTTCCTGACGGACTGGACGGCCCCAGTGGGGCACATCCTGCCCCTGAGGCGATTCCTGGAGAACTGTTTGGATACCGATCTGCGAAGCTTCTATGCAGGTAGGTTAGGTTCCCAGGAGGACAGAGGGGCTGAGCTGGAGGGTGAAGACGACCAGGTAGATCGGCGCCCTGTGCAACTTTCAGACACACGTCTGGAAACCCACGCCCGAGACGTCTGTCTCCTGCGACAGGAGGCCTCGATGTTCACAGAAAGCCCTCCCTGTATGGCACACCTGCGCACACTAGCGCTTCCCAGGTAGCACTAGCGGTAAAGAGCCCACCTGCCTATGCAGGAGACGTGAAAGACGCGGGTTCGATCCCTGGGTCTGGAAGATCTCCTGGAGGAGGAAATGGCAACCCACTCCCATATTCTCACCTGGAAAATTTCAGGGACAGAGGAGCCTGGCGGGCTGCAGTCCATGGGGTCACAAAGAGTTGGACACGGCTGAAGCGACTTAGTGTGCATGCATGCAGACACTGAGTAAAATGTCTTCTTTAAAGAACTTACAGGAAAATATGGGACCCACCCCCCAGAAGCCAGACACTAAGAAAAGCACAGAACACATACTGGAGAAGGTGATACCTGCTAGCCACCGGGGGTCTAGAGCCTGCATAACTAACCAGAACATGGGGATGGAAAGGCGAGGCTGGAGCGGGGTAGGAGGTCTGTATGTGCATACTTAGTCACTCACTCATGTCTGACTCTTCTACGACCCCATGGACTGTAGCCCGCCAGGCTCCTCTGTCCATGGGATTTTCCAGGCAAGAATACTGGAGTAAGCTGCCATTTCCTTCTCCAGGGGATCTTCCCAACCCAGGTATCAAACCTGCGTCTCCTGTGTCTCCTGCATTGGCAGACGGGTTCTTTACCACTAGCACCCTAAGGGAAGCCCTAAGAGGTCTGTACAGAAAAGAAATAAAGCCAGGGTCTCAGTGGGTAAGCTAGGAGCCAGAAAGCACTCCCAGGAGAGACAGAGGAGATGCAGGATTTTTGGCTCTGTGTAGTGCAGGAAGAAAAACCTCCCTTGAGAATTTCCATCCACTAGGCCTCATTTGTATGAGTTTGGGGCCAAAGTTCACACTGTCATCTTGGTGCAGAAATCACAGGCATCAGTGCGAGTCTTCTGTGAGGAAATAGACTTTAAAGCCAGACCTTGAAGAATTCCCACAGACAAAAGTTCTCTGGAACATGAACTCCCAAGCAGAAACCACTAACACACAGGAACTCAAATGACCATGCAAGTGTCAATAGAAACAACAGTGTTGGATCAAACCTACAGGGAATATATGAATTGGAGTGGTCAGAGAGAAGATGTAAAGTATGTATAGACTCTGTGAATAAATAAAAAAGGGATTACTAAAAACAGAATGAAAGGATATTGAATGGGCAATTTTGAGAAAGGTCCAAGTAGAACTTCTGGAAATAAAAGTATCAATTTGTAATTAGAAACTCAGTGTCAAGGTTAGTAGCACATTAGACATAGATGAAGGGAAAATTGGTGAACTGGAAGACAGCTCTGATAGTTGAACCCAAAGAGGGACTTGGGAACAGAAGTCTCATGATTCAGAGGCAGAACTGACCGAAACAAGCCAGATTTTTGTCTTTTTTTTTTTTTTTAACTCCGAATTACTAGGATAGCCACTTTTTTTTTCTGTTTAGCAAATATCTGTTGAAATAGTGGTTGCATATCCGGCACTATTCGTATCAGACCAGGTTAGAGATGATTAGTCCTTGGCCTACAGGTCAGAGTGCAAGAGTCCTTCAGCTCACCTTGAAATAAAAAATGTATGTACCAAGGGAGATGGCCTAAAACAGTACTTGAAGTTAACAGTCTAAACATATGTAGACGCTCCAGCAGGGGTAATTCAGAGAGCAGAGCTAAAGCAGCTTTGAAGTACTAGCATCCTGCAGACATCAGCTCTGACTGTATGCTTCCATAGGAAATTGTGCATTGAAGGTCTAGAGACCTCAACTGCAAAATGCCTATTTCTTGAGGTTTCAGGAGTACAGAGATGCTGGTACCTTTTAGGGGGTGTATTCCGGCCCTGAGTCATGGGTCCCACCAGTCCATCACCACAGGCCCTTTGAGTCTCCTGGCTCCTACCTCTTAGATATACTCAACAGTACAAGTCACCAGGTGTCACTGCCTTGAACTTGCAAGACTCCTCCCCCAAAGGGCTAGCTGGCAGAGGTGGGCTTCCCCTCCATCCCTTTAACACATGTGCAGCTGCTAGTTCTGGCCCCAGATCTGCTGGGCTTCTCTGCTCCCTGGCCCTGCAGAAGGGGTGACGTATGTCATTGGAGGGGTTGCTTGCCAAAAGGCTGCCTCACTGGCCCCACTCCATCCTCTCCCATGTCTGCTGTCTTCCCTGTTCAGAGAGGGTGGTTGTGGCCCATTCTGCCAAGGGCCCTCTGTACTGGAAGTCAGAGAGAAGGTGGGAAATACTGTTCCTGTAGCACTTCCAGCCTGATCACTCGTGTGAGCCTTATAGCACCCTTTATAATGTGCCTGTTTACTGAGACAGGAGGTCAGGATGGTTCTCTGACACGCCATCTTCCCATCCTGTCTCTAAAGCCCTCAGAAGCCTGAGCCCACATCTGTTTAATCCTTTGCTTTTTTTTTTAATTTAAAAAAAAATTTTATTTATTTTTGGCTGCACTGGGTCTTTGCTGTGCATTGGCTTCTCATTGCTGGAGCTTCGTTTGTCACAGAGCACAGGCTCTAGGCACCCGGGTTTCAGTAGATCCCAGCCCCCAGGGCGGCTCCTGGAACAGAAGACCGAGGGGCTGCTCCTGAGTGGGTGAGCTCCCCCCACCCCCGCCAGTGGCGCCACACACAGCAGCATGCAGGCCCCTATCTCTGGAAGCTGGGCCATCTCTTTGGTTTGCTTTCCTTTGGAGCTTTTCCCCGCCATAATGTCAAGGCGGCTCCTAGTCTTAGAACTTCAGGGAAGGATGGGGTCCACGGCTACCCAGGTCAGACATGAGATACCAAGAACAGTCGGCCCCCAGGCTCAGGGGCTGGAGGGAAGCAGTGAGGCCACTGGGGCATCAGCAGCCCCTCCCCTTGCACCTGGCCCCACAGCCCTCAGCCCATCTCCTTTTACTTTTGTGCAGAGTCCTGTTTCCTGTTCGCCCTAACACACCAGAAGCTCCCGCCCTTTTGCCAGCAGGGCTACCTGAGAACGCAGGGTCTCGTGGGAACTGAGAGCCTCCGTCAGCACGGCGTGGAGAGCGGGCTCCTGTGGGACTCTGCCATCATGGGCCAGCGCCAGGGGGCCAGCGAGCAGCAGCCTGGCAACCACAGGCCAGGAGGGCACCCTCTGGCTCCAGGGCCTCCGGTCTCACCTTTCAACAGCAACAAGGAGGAGCTCTGATGGGCGGCTGCTCCCACTAGGGTCACAGTCAGCCTTCCTCTTCCCCGCAGTTTCGTGCTCCCACGTGATTGCCAAAGACCCCCCTCAAATCATCGCGGTGACCGCACCAAAGCCACACGGAGGGCACAGACGGGCTGAAGGGCGGCCACGCGGTGGTCTTCCCCTCCTGTTTGGTTCAGGGATTTCTGGGAAGAGGAGTCCAGGGACAGCATCTTCTGCCAGATGGAAGGGAGCCGCGTTCCACGCCAGACTTGTCTGCAAGCCAGCCACCACGAGCACCAGGCTGGCCTCAGCTCTGTCCCCATCAAGTGCCCAGTGTTCCTCTTCCGAGGGCCCTAGATTCTGCCTACCTGTGGAGCGTTTCACAAGTGCAATCCACCCTCATCTTCATACGGGTTGTAGCAGGCACTTTAAGACAAAGGCTCTAAGGTCCTCCGCCAAGTGGGGCAGGTGGGGCTGTTACCCCCTGATGGAAACACCAGCTGAGGAAGGTCAGGTGATCCCAGGGGTCCCAGCCAGGAGTCTAGGAAGCCCTAAGGCCCACCCTGCTTCACCATACTGCCTCTCCCCGCCCCATCTCTGCTTTCAGAATCCCAGTCGGGGCAGAGAGAGGACAGCTCCCAGCAGGCCGTCTTATCTACGCAGGTCTCTGCCAAGCTGCTCTCTCCCCAGGACCGCCCTCCCTGACTTGCCTTCCCGCTCTGTGTTCTCTCTCTCATCCTACTCCCCTGCCCTCTGGCATTCCGAACAGCGCCTCCTCGCCTCTGCCCTGCCAGATCAGGTTTTGTGAAATGATCCCCGTGCTGGCTATCAGTGGGGATTCTCTTGGAGGGGATTCACCCCACTGTTCCATACAGAGCCCAGCTCAGCATGGGCAAGAAATCATCTATAAATGAGTTTGTAAGATAACGATGATGAATGTAGTTTCTGGTTCCCTGAGCTGTTCTGGCTTTTTTATTGTCCCTCCTCACCAGGAATCTGTTCCTTCTTACTCTCTCATCAGGTATTTGAGTCCCATTGATGAGTAAGCCATGGGAAAGCATTTGTACAGAAAATAATCATGGTGGTTTCCTCAAAAGCCCAGGATCACAGGTGATAGCTTTCTCACTGGTTCTTACCAGTAAGTCCTTCATGTGTCCACTGAGAATTGTAGGGACACAAGCTTTCCGGATCCACTGCCCTTTACTTGGAACAGCTTCTTCATGATGGCCAGGTCCAAAATCCCTTACCCCCAGCACCACTGTCTGTGCTCCAGGTGTTTGCAGTCACAACAGTGAGACTCCAAAAGCCTGAGCCTGTCAGGGAGGAGGTGTTTACCCCATGACAAGACGTGGCATAGTTTACAGAGAGCTGAAACTTCTCAGTGAAGGGTCTCTCCCTAATCCCAGGCTGTTCAATTTGCTGTATTTCATACTGTTTACAGGTAAACCAAAATTGGGTCCCATTAGTCCACCCTTCCTTTTCCTAAACTTTTTTAAAAAAATAAATCTTTTGGGATTTCTAGTGGTCCAGTGGTTAAGACTCCACACTTCCAATGCAGGAGGTGTGAGGGTTCAATCCCTGGTTGGGGAACTAAGATCCTACATGCCTCTTGGCATGGCCGAAAAATAAAATTTAAAAAACAAAAAAAAACAAGTATGAAAATAAATAATTAGGACTGTACCCATATTATCAAATCCTGTTACACACATCTTGCCTACCCAGTTACTAAAGGCTGGCTGAGCCCCCGGTTCGAGGTGCTGTAACAAATAGTTGACTGACGCCTAAGTATGTGACATCTGCTACTCTTCCTGTCATGTGCCAAGTTCTTAATTCCATCAAAATATCACCAGCCTTATTTGTGTTCAATAAGACATGGTTCAGCTCTTACTCAGCCAATGAGACACACATTCCCTGGTATTTTTCCTGTAAATTAATAGTTGGCTTCAGAGAACTACTTTTTCCTATGAAGATCATTGCTGCATTGGCTGGAGTCCTGTCTACATCTTGCTTTCTTCTAGCAACCCAGCCTCCGGGGCCTTTTCTGTAAATCCTTGCCCCTGAGTGCCCATGCCTTAGGCCTGGCATCTTTGCTGTCTGCTATCTTCCTCTTGTGTTGTATGGATTCATGTGTCCTACTTCATTGCCTCAGTTTCTTTCCTTGTCAAGTTTAGACAGCCATCTAGCAGATCTTGTTGTTTCCAGCCAGATCAAGTCCTTCTAGCTAAGGCCTGACTTCATCCATTCATTCTTTTTGAAAATATTATAAAGTTACACATGTAAAACAGACAAATCAGTGAAACAATAGGCCAGAAGTAGAGCCTGTTCTAAGATGGAGGTGTTTTTTAAAGGGAATCACAAACCAGTGGAAAAGATTGTACAGGATTGTGCAATAAGTGATGTTAGACTGGAACTTTCCTGGTGGTCCAGTGGTTAAGACTGAGTTCCCAATGCAGGGGGTACAGGTTCAATCCCTGCTCAGGGAACTAAGATCCCGCATGCCCTGGGCATGGCCAAAATTAAGTAAATAAAAATGATGTTGGACCAATGGATTACTAACTTGGGAAAGAAAATCAATCTCCTTTAGACCCCTATTTCATATTATACTTCAACATTAATTTCAGGTTAATTTATGAAAGCCATATAGAAACTAGAGGTGAAAAGGAGGTACTACAATAAAAGAAAGGACTTTTCCAAGTTTAGAACCAATAGAGTAATTCCCCAGGGGAAAAGCTTTAACATTTCTAGGTACAACCATCCTGCCTGACTAATATGCCTGTTTTAAAGAAAATGATTATTAAAAGGCAAAAAGCATGGGCAAAAATAATTACGGCAGAAAACAACATACATAAAAATAACTAATAAGCAAATTATCTTTTATATTAAGAACAATGAAATGAGAAAAATGGAGAATAGTTACGTAAACTATGGCACATTCAGCCCATGAATATTAAGCAGCCCTCAAAACCTCTAAAAAGTGGTAAAAGACTACATAATATTGATACAAGTACATCTGTGACAAAATTAAGTGAAAAGAATCAGAATATGAAAGTGTAGTTCCAACTGCTTGTAACTATAAAAACAGAAAAACCATATACAAGGGAAACTGGAGGTATTAGGTTTGCAGAGTTTTTTTTTTTTTTCCTTTTTCCTCTTTTGCCCAAATTTGGGTTTATACTCCATGGTGAAATAAATTCATTTATTTTTAAAAATCGTCTCTGTTTCTGAACTGTGAAGTTGCTGGGGGCAGGACGGGCTGGGAGCCCTTGGCAGGGCATGTACTCTGCCCCGTGGTCCAGATGGTGCCACAGGTGTCATCTGTTGGCCGCAGTTGAGAAGACACTGCATCGGTGTCAGAGGAGAAAATGTGCTCTGTCTAGGGAAGGGAACTTTAAAAGTGGTGTGTGCTCCTCTCCTAGACTCTTTGGACCGACAGACCCAGCTGGACAACACCAGTCTCTGGAAGAATCTTCCCTCCCAAGTGACAAGAAAATGAATATAATCTCAGGGTTAATATGAGCCCCAAATTTCTTTTGTGTGACAAAAATGGGGTGTCCCTAAAGCCTTCCTGGAAATCAACTCACCAAGAAATGAATTTGTCTGCTAAGCTCATCATAACACCTAATCATTCACTGAGTATTTACTATATGCCCAGAACTGGTGTGGTGATTTTAAAGGTATGTCCACAAATTCTTGGATACTTCTCCCCCAAAGAGGTAGAGCTTAACCCCTCCTGTTGGTGTGGGTTGGACTTTGTGATTCATTTCCAGCAAATAAAATGCAGCAGAAGTGACAAGATGTCATTCAAGATTAGGGTATAAAAAAGACTGTGGCATTTATCTACCAAGAAACTGCTTTCTGTCTGTCTCTAGGAGTCCCTTGCTCTGGGAGAGGCCACCTGTCATGTTGAATTTGAAAGGACATCCAGTGTGGAGCAGCCCATGCGGCAAGGAACCAAGCTCTGCCCACAGCCATACGAGTGAGCCTGGAAGCACACTCTATCCCAGTCCTACCTTTGGTTGACCGCAGCTCTGGCCAGCAACTCACACACAGCCTCATGAGAGACCCTGAACCAGAACCACCCCGCCAGAATCAGGAAGTAACACATGCATGAAATAGCTTGCTATATTATCACCACAACCCTAAGAGGTACTAGATGTCACTCTTCCCATTTTACAGACAAGGCGAAAGCCCATTACACAGCAAGTCAGTGATGCGGTGTTTCAAAAATCCACCTCCTCTGAGCCATCCTCTAAATATTAAACCATTAAAGCAACCATCTCCTTATCACAGTCCCTATGGCAGAAAGTGAAGAGGAACTAAAAAGCCTCTTGATGAAAGTGAAAGAGGAGATTGAAAAAGTTGGCTTAAAGCTTAACATTCAGAAAACTAAGATCATGGCATCTGGTCCCATCACCTCATGGGAAATAGATGAGGAGACAGTGGAAACAGTGTCAGACTTTTATTTTTTGGGGCTCCAAAATCACTGCAGATGGTGATTGCAGCCATGAAATTAAAAGATGCTTACTCCTTGGAAGCAAAGTTATGACCAACCTATATAGCATATTAAAAAGCAGAGACATTACTTTGCCAACAAAGGTCCATCTGGTCAAGGCTATGGTTTTTCCAGTGGTCATGTATGGATATGAGAGTTGGACTGTAAAGAAAGCTGAGCGCTGAAAAATTGATGCTTTTGAACTGTGGTGTTGGAGAAGACTCTTGAGAGTCCCTTGGACTGCAAGGAGATCCAACCAATCCATCCTAAAGGAGATCAGTCCTGGGTGTTTATTGGAAGGACTGATGCTGAAGCTGAAACTCCAATACTTTGGCCACCTCATGCAAAGAGTTGACTCATTGGAAAAGACCCTGATGCTGGGAGGGATTGGGGGCAGAAGGAGAAGGGGACGCCAGAGGGTGAGATGGCTGGATGGCATCACCGACTTGATGGGCATGAGTTTGAGTAAACTCCGGGAGTTGGTGATGGACAGGGAGGCCTGGAGTGCTGTGATTCATGGGTTTGC